ATTATCACTATTTTTTTATCGTCAATATTTTATGGTAATTGTGTATCGTATCATTAATTAATTAATGAAAAATAACATTTTTATTTTTATATTATTTTTCTAATAATGTTTTAGTTTATTTTATTAAATTAACAATCAACTTTATATTTATAAATTCGAGGAAAAATATGCTGTGTTGTATGTACATGTGTGTTTGTATTATAATGAATTTTCTAAAGAAATATGATTGTGAATTATTTTGAGACGATGACGAACAATCCTAGATTTTACTAACCCTAATGTCTTAGAACGTACGTATGGCGTGGATTGATTAAGTATCTCGGGATAAAAACATTTTCGTCGGCGTAAAAATGCAGTATGCTATGTAGTTAGTAAAACCAGTTCTTTGAAGCTCGTCCTCGTATCTCCTTCTCCTGTTAGAACGCCGTAACCATACGTATATACATATGTACGTGCATATTTGCTTAAGGCACTTGTACTTATTTTATTTGCACTATATTGAATCCAACGTGTAAAATGCAATAAACAAAAAAAAAATACCGTTTTCTATTTCTTCGTTATTAGCATAAATATATGGAACTTTAGCGCATGTAGAATTATGACAAATTAATCGAATAAAATGGCAATCAAGAAAGCTTGACATAATATCATGGTTCATTTAAATCATTTGTAGACGCCATTCCTCGACAAGAAAATTGTTCCGCCAACTATCACATATTTATGACGTGTAAATGTGCTAAGAGCATTAAGTGAGATCCAGTTCCACTGGTTCGACTGTCTACCCTTCCGGCGTGGGGGATTCGTACGTTGGGAATCACGTTGGTAGCCATCTATCAATCGGGACACAGAAACGTGCCTTTCCTCGCGGCGCTCCGCACATCCTTATTTATAGCGGAATGATCGGCCCATAATTACAGACTCCATGACGAAAACGACCTTCTGCTTATCTAAACAGGGGCTACGGCACCCACTCGCATACACGCAGGTCGATATTTCGGAAATAAACTGCAGAACTGTCCATTTCACGCATCAATTGCATGTTTATTCACGTTTGCTGCTCGTCAGATGATAGCTACTTATCTCGGACTTATCTCCGACTTGATAGCTACTTATCCCGAAGATGACCCACATGCTTGTGGCTGCGTGATTTGCCGGCAGCAAGGTCGTATTCCGGATAATTTTTACAATTTTCAAAATGGTATAGTATATTGTGAAAAATGCCACAGATTCTAGATTTATACAAATACTTTTCAATTTTTATTAAAAAGTGTCTTCCGACAATTATAATAAAATTTAAAGTGGCGAAGGAAATTTCTTAACGTGCAAATAGCAAACATAGAAGATAAATCTTTTATAATAATAGAGAGATTGTGGTTTATTTTTGATTGATAAGATTTAATGAAAAAAATGTATAATTGTTCCTCGAGGTCTCTTACGTCAGCTTTGTTTATATAACTGGTATGTAATTATACTTTTTTAAAGTAAATCTGCCCTCCACTTATCTAATCTCATTTTAAAATATCTTTTCATCTTTTACATTTTGTTCCAGATTACGTACATGTTAATAATCCACAAATAATTATGCTAACATTTATGTAAACAATAATTCTTTTAAATAATTATCAGTATCGTATAAAAGCGTTTCAAATAAATTATTTACAAAGTCATAAATTATATCTTACAATGTTTTAATGTTATTAATATATTTATGTTAAATTTAATTTTAAATTTAATTCTGTACCTTCTCTCTTAATTGAAAAAAACGTATTTATTAAAATATTCTTATCGTAAAGGCAATATATGATTAAGGTTTCATTACTTTTTCATGTATTATATAGAATAATATAATAAATGTATTAAAACTAATAATTATATATATACTAATAATTATACATTTCTGATAAAAAAATGCTTCTCATAGAGCAAAGTAGTAAAATCATACGTTAATGTACTATTCCGAGTAAGCCAGATTCTCTCATTCGTTCTTTTGGCTATTAATGAACAGTTTATTTTTTCAAATATAGTATTCAAACGTTTATGCATCTGAAGACGCTTCAAAAGCGTCGGAACGGCTGGACGAAGTCTAAACGGAATGTCTTGTGTTGAGCATTAACCTCGACGAATCAATTATTTTCTTCTTAATGTAGATATGAATTATTTATTTTCATTTGTAATTGTTGTATTATTTTACTTACAGTTTTGATTTCTACATGTTTGTTCAAATAATTTTCGTAAATCTCTCACACTTATTTAATGTACAAATGTATAACAACAACCGTTAATTTACTTTAAATTTAAAATAAGTTTTTCTTTACAAAAGAAATCTTGTCCTTGAAATTCATTTCAATCGAGGTACAAAATAAAAGAGTTGACTTTGTCAGTAAATGTTAAAAATTCAGACAAAGGCTTTGAAGATATTAGAAAGCAATCCTAATTGATAAATAATTATTTCAAGCATGTTCTCTCAGAACCAATGTATTCCATATATTCACAGAAAATTTATGATTTTACTTTGCTGTTACTCTTAGCTACGCAGTAATTATATTCTTGTGTTGGTAAAATTTATAATAATATTTATTTATTATAGACCATATAATTTTTTCGTATTTTTGAGATTTTTTAAAAATTTCTATTTTACTTGCTTTTGCCATATACATTAATTTTTTTATTATTTTCATTAATTCTTATACTATTATAAGTAATTATAATTCATCAGTAAACACTCTTGAATTTATGCATCACTATCGGATTTGCATCACTATTGCTTCGCAGTTTAATTATAGCTAGAATTCCATTAAAATTGGGAATTGGTAATCGTTTAGGTAGTTAAGATACACATCGTGCTAAATATATACCTACAGAGCCTTGTTTTTATATAATATGATATTGCTATAACCGACAAAAAACGATGAATTTGCTTGTATCTCTCGCTTCCCGCGAATCGAAGCGTACTCGAAATAATCGTGCGAGGGACATAAACCGAAGTAAAAGGATGCTGTATTAACCAAGCGGGCATCATGCGAACGATTGGGAGAGGAAGCCAAAACTTGTACAAGAAAGATCTGAGCTGCGTATCCCGTTTGGGGGCCGAGCCGAACGATCTGAGGCCCTCGTTCGAGCTAACCCGAGAGAACTAGAAGGAGAAGGCAACCCCCCGCGCCTTACAATGCAGCCTGATTTATGGCCCGGGCGCACATACATAGAGTTACACACGATATCATAATACCATTAATTCTTCGTCAAATTCCCCGCTGACTGAATCATACTGGCCGCGCAGTAAATCACGCGGGGCGACTAATGTGAGCGCGACCAGCGCGCTCGGCTGTTTTATCTTCTTTGAGCCACGGGGGCAGGTGAATCTAGTCTTGGTCTCCGCTGAATTACTGTTACCCGTTCTGACCGCACCCCCGCACTACCTTTCGTTCGTATCTCAAATCGCGCGCGAGCTCATTTCCGTGTGTTTTATAAAGTACATACTCGGACGATCCTAGAGAGAGCACGAGTGTACGGCGACGCGACCGGCGGTTTTGTTTGCGTTATCGAATATTTATTCGAAAATGTATTTATATGTATAATTGCTGTTCCCCTGCTTAATATGTTACTAATCATCTATTGTTTCTTTGTCTTATGCCTTGTTTGTTTTCTCTCAATCGTATGTAGCAATATAGTAATATTTTGCACTTTATAATTGCTAATTTATATTTTATTCATAATTATTTGTATATTTGCTTGACAATTACATTCAACAAGATACTATACAAAATATTTCCTTATTCGAATTATAATCGGAAAGTTGCTTTATAAAGTGCTTTAAGTTTTCCAGTACAGTAACGTTAAATTTAATTTATTGATTATTTTTCGCAATAATAATATCACTTTTAAAAAATTTTAGAGATATAAAAATATTTTCCAATTATTATTGATAATTATTTTGCTATTCGGTAATTTAATAATTTGTCAAATATTTCTTGCAGTATTCGTGTGGATAAAATTCATACACTACTCTAAAGATGTTTATTTTGTAATTATCTCACAATAAAATATATGCTCTTATATATTGTATAATATATAATATTTTTATTTAATTAATACGCACATTTCGACACATCAGATACTGTAATTTATTAATTGTTGTTCTACTCTTATGCAATATTTACTTAACTGTAGAAATACTGAATATCGACTACTTCTATAAAATTTACTGAACATTATTTGTCTATCCTAATCTTTTCCTAATCTTTTTATACAAAAATTACATTATAGAAAGTCTCATTATGTAAATTAATATACTGCTGCACTTAAAACGTAAAAATGAAATAACTATTTACAAATATTGCGTTTGAAATCAAGTGATTTATTTCAGATGTCAAAATTTATATATTTCTGTGTTTACCAAACGTAAAACGTGTTTAAAACGCGAATAACGATTTAAGAGGAGATTGTTATCATCAAATTGAATAAATTTGTGAGGTCTTGTATTTTAGCACTTCTACGCTTTTGATAGATGACATTTCAAAAGTTAAAAAGAATAGATATATACATTTATATATATTAATATATTAAGCAAAACATTATATCGTACGTCATATTTAAAAATTTAAATGTGACGTACGATTTAATATATTGTTCAATATATTAATATAAATAAATATATATTTATTAAAATGTTATAAAATAAAGCACGCAGAATTTTTTTCAACTCTTAAACAGTTGTAATCCTAACAATACAACATAACAGTATAAATTAATGTAATTGTTATTAATCTCCTCTTTTACCGATTTAATAAGATAAAGAGCAAGTTTCATTCACAAACCAAAAAAGAAGAAACAGAAGATGTATTTTGGAAACCACATTATTTGTAGCGATAATATTTAAAAGATAGATTAAAAAATAAACTGACTTACTCTGACCAATGTGAACCCTCTTCATCCATGGATATATTTGAGGCGGGTTAGTGCCAGAAGTGTTCCCCTTGTTGGACGAATTGTTACCCGTGCTAGAGGTACTGGATGTAGAGGAAGCGGGCGACGAAGCGGAAGATGCTGTTGTCAGCGTTGAATTTCCCTCGCCGACGCCCCTCGAGCTACCACTGGGTGGTGAAGCAGCGGACGCAGCCACAGACGACCTTGACGAGCTACCAGGTGGTGAAGTCAATCCTGATGCGGCTTTACTTGTACCGGGCGCGACTAAGGGCGTTGGGCTATTTCTCGAAGTAGATGTGGTTAAATCTTGCGGAGATGCCACACTGGTGGACGATGTCGAATCAGCATATTTGCAGCTGGACGTTGACGGTGCCGAGGGTGCCGAAGCGCCCTGCAGAAGAGGTGTCGTTGGATCCGCGTGAAGTTGTTGCTGAGGATGATGTGGCTGCTGATGATGTTGCGACTGTTGAGCGTGCATACCGTGTTGTTGTGACGTCGTGGTCGCACTTAGCCGAGGCTGCGGCTGCAATTGGGTATAGTCTATCATTCCTGTCGGTGCTGTATGCTGCATACCCGACGCCGGCGTGGCATAAGGGTGCTGGGGATAGTGCTGTTGTGGCGAGTAACAAGGTGCAGGATAGCTGGTGGAGGCTGCATTTGGATTGTAGTACTCGCCACCGGCCGGCGATGCTGCCTGCATCGGTTCTCCAGGCGAATTCGCGGTCGGTCTTGGCTGTTGCTGTGGCTGTTGACCCGCGTAGCATGATGCGAGCGAGTTGACGAACTGATAGGAACTCATTCTTCACGTACCTTCACCTGCCGTCAACGTCACTATATCAATATCGTGCACGTCTGTGTTCCGTCATTCACCGAAAACACTGAACGCGTTGTGTTCGATCGGTTGAGGCGGTTGAACAACGCGCGCCGTCATTAAGTATAGAAACTTGTCATCGTGCTTGCAATGACAGAAATCGCGCGACAGACACACGTGACCGGCTACTCCGAGTACAAGTTTCACCTTGTTCGTCGAACGATTCACAGCTATCACGACCTGTTACACGCGACAGAAACACGTCCCTAAGCGATTCGATAATGAACGAGGGGTTCAGGACTAATAGAGAAAGAGAGAGAGAAAGAGAGAGAAAGAGAGAGAGAGAGGCAGACGTCTGGCGGCAGGCGGGTCGAGCCTGAATTCGAACCGACCTGCGAGTCAAGTTTATGAGGGCCACGTGGGCCTGGGCTATAAAACTGTCTTCTGCTTCTTTATGAGCTCAGGAGTCGCGATTACCTACAGAGAACTTGTGGGCCCATCGTGCAGTAGCGCGTAACGAACAGCTTATCGAGGCGCCCCATTGAAGATGACCTTGTAAAGTCTCTTCTCAATGAAATAACATGCCAAGTAACACATATGTGCGCGCATTAAAATTATTTACGCGATGATTAATTGCGGTTGAATGTTGTCACAGGTGTTGCACTTAACAGACGGCTTTATATATCGCGGCAACGCGGCAACGCGGTAGAGGCGATTCGACTTCACGGTAAAGGGTGAAGAGTGTGTACCCGCACGCGAGTTCGCCGCCGTTCTTGTTGCGTGCGCGAAGGGTGGTTGGTATCGTACTGAAGGCTTCGCCACGATCCAACGGAAGGCCGGTGTGTGCGGTAGCTTGTCACGTGCCCGCGCTCTCTGCGTGTCAGAGGAGCGCCTCGACCAATCCCTGCCGTTCGTCAAACCTTGATTGGTCTCTCCGTCGGCGTACGATTCTTCAACCCCGTTCCTTGCGTCTCCGTTCTCGAGTCTCCGCTCTACCGCTGGCGCTCGTCGTGTGGTAGTGTTGCCCGGCTGCTACCCGACGTGACAGGAACCGATGAGAGGGGTGTGCGTAAGAGAGAGAAAGAGGGCGAGAGAGGGGTCAAGGAGAGGGGATAGCACCGTCAGGGGGGCTAATGGAGAGATATTCGGGAGCCCTGTGAAACCGCTGGTGGGGGAGAAGTATCTCGATCGCTCTCTCGTTCTCCTCTGCAGCCTTCTAGCCGCGACGTCACCAAGAAGCAGTCTTCCGTCCGCTTTGCGAGGGGGGCTACGCGCGCACGCGCCCCCTACTGTATAGTCTCGCGGCTGAAGACAGACGAAAAAGAAAAGGGGTGGTACGAACACCGAAGGCGCGATTGTTCCTTACTGATCGACCGAAAACGATTCGCCCATTAATATCACCGTATCTTCGTCGATTTCATCCGTCGCGAATCCATTTTAGCTCCATCATACGTACCGTATCTCTTCTTGATCAGGAGATGGAAGAAAAGTACGTTTTATTAGTGCAAATTGCTGTACTTGCATATTGCAACGCGGGACCGTGAATCGGACGTATGATCGGACTCACTTCCGACCGCCCTTTTTCTAGATGTGCGTTACGTCTGACCTTTCGTTAACAAGTTTCCAAGATGGGATCGTCGCGCGTTCGTAGCGCGAAAGGCGCAGATTCAACCTGAAAACGTGTGATTCTCTCCAACCGCGGCTAAGGAAGGGGCGCACATAAGTCAGCCTGGTGGCCGCGGTTGACAGTTTTATGAGAGTTTGATAGTCTTCGCCGCTCACTCCTCTTTTCACAACGAAAGGACAGGAGAGAAAGGGCGGCCTAGAGGGAAAGAAATGCGTAAAGGAAAGAAAAGAGAAAAGGAGAGAAACAGAGAGAGAGAAAGAGAGAGAGAGAGAGAGCATGAGAGAGAGAGAGAGAGAGACGCGCACTACGCACCACACTCTTTATTGTCCCATAAATTCAAACCTGTTGCCTGTAGTCGAGAAAGACAAGGAGGGAAGAGCGTGCACGAGGTAGAATCCTCTCCCAATCGCGATTCGATTGACGCCCCCGTTATCGCTCGTACGGCGAACCCGGACGCAACTCGTAACTCACTGAGCCGGCCTGAGAGGAGAGCCTTTGGAGTTGGCGGCTCTAAGCAGAAGCATGTGTGACGTAGTAGCCAGTTGGTCAAACGGGGGGCATTCCGGGGTAACAGGGGGCGGAGGGGACGGTTGAGGAGGCGGAGCTCCCTTTGCTCATCGCAGATAAGACTTTAAACGAGTTTTTTTTACGTTTTTATATACAAAATTTCTTTGACATTTTTACAGTGTATTCGCAGTGTGCTCTCTTCTTCGCATGTGGATTAATTTATTGAGTATATGTTTCTAAAATTTTATTTTTTCAAATTTCAAAATTTTGCCTTTATCTGTTATTGAAATTTTATTGCTATTAAAAAAAATAACATAAAGATCTTGTAAAAACAACAATTTTTCAGCTGTTACAATAAAATTGATACTTAAATTGGGATTTCTTCATTATTTTCCCCGTAATGTCTTGTCTTATTTGCGTTGTTTCTATTACGTAGATCGCTATTTAATTCGCGGCATTAATAATTCGGGAGGAAGAATAAAATTTTGAATATAGGCCGATAGTGTGGCAGTTGCTCGCCAGATGTGGCGAGTGCGGCTGTTCTCGTTGAATTGTGGCGCGCGCCCGCCCCCAGCCGTCCTACCCTTTCCTCTTCTTCTCCCCACTACTTAATCGCTTACCCCACTGCTCAGTCGAAACTGGGTATCTCTTTTACTTTGAGTCGTCGCATCTGTGTACGTATACCGCCGTATCCCCACTATTTTCATAGCATTCGCCACTTCAGAGTCGGCTGTTTGTCCTACACTATCACTTTAGCCCTCTTCTTTCACGTGGCTGATGAAAAATCGTGATCCAAAGACTCGACTGATAAAAACAATGAAATTCTATTTTATCACTTAATGACTAATGTTCCACTATCTCTTATGATTATTACTGCCACTTTTAATATTTATTTACAAAACGTTTCAGTTTTTATATTTTAATAAAAAATACATATAAATGTATCTTTTATCAAATCTATGAAGATAGGAAGAAAGAATGAGAAAAAAATAAGAGTTATTATACGCACAATAAAATATATACTATACACAATAGAACTATATACTATAGAATAGCATATACTATAGAATATATATTATAAAAAGATATATGAACATGGATGAACATCGTGTCAAGATTATCGACTTAATATTTTTGAATTTTAAACATTTTTGCATATTTCTTATTATTGCTCTTATTATTGCTATTATTTTGTTTGTAGATTTATAATTATTTTATAAATTACATTATAAAAATGCAGAAAAATCAATAAACACAAGTTGTAAAAATAATATAAAATTTTAATAATATAAAAATATATAACTTTTATTTGAGTTTCCATATTTAATTTTTGAGATTATTTTACTCTCTTTACTGCGAGCGCGCGCGCGCGTGTCAGCGGGTCAATGTGTTTTGATTTAACGCAATTGATGCCTGATGATGACGAGATTCTATGACAAGAAATAAGGCCCGGTCGGCCTACTTCAGTCGATCCAAGGTGCATTGCCTTGAGGTCTCGTGTCACTCTTCATGGTAGACCCTCTCCATTAGAATTTCCAATAAAGCTGTCGCAGGTGTAAAAAACGTATCAAGACCCCCATGAATCATGTGTCGCAAAGCGGAGCCGCCAAGACACGTGTATCTGTTATGCTTTCTCTCCGTAATTCGCGGGATGGTTTATGCACCCGTGTTTGTCTGTTCTCTCTATCTCTCTTTTTACACTACTATACTCTACCTCGCACTATCATCCATCCAGTGTCGATATAGTTCGATGACTCCGCCAAAGCAATTATTATCATTGAAATTAGGTTTCAATCGTATATACATGAAGAATGATTCGAATCATCTATAAATGTTCAATCTTCGGGCAATTGCGAATCGATGGTATGACGTCATAAATAAATAATAAGTCGAATAGTAAGAATTCTCTAATAGCGATTCTAGTTAAGAGATATGATCACTGCGTTAATTTATAAATATCAACATGAGTTTATTGAAGCTTTAGTGAGAAAAACCTTTCCGTCGGAGAGTCCTATAATCAGTACCGTCATCCATTCGGCAATTACGAATTTAACAGATGACATAAAATTAATTGTAACTATCAAGTTAAGATTGGATTTTGCAAAATATCCGATAACCGGTTTACAAGTAAGTTTCAGTCAATCCACGCTATGAATTCATAATTCGTTGTAGCTCTCTAATATATAGAAGTAAATTATATATCTTTAATCTTCATATGAGATGAGATAAGAAGAAACTTACGACATTCAGAAATAAATATATGTATATTTTAAAATAAAATATACTTATACCTGTGCGAAGATAATGTATAATGGTTGCGTTTAGCAGAAAAAACAGCTTTGCAACTATTGTAAAATTCTTTAATATGAT